ACCCCGCCAGCCCTTCTTCCTTTTGAATGAGCCTTTGGACATCACAGCCACACTTTGCTCGCACTGAATGTTTTTCAATGTGAGTGCGTCATGTCACACTGCAACGCGACGCGACGTCCCTATGAATGGGTTTGTGGACTGTGCACTGTGGGATTGTAAAATGCAGTGTGAAAAGGTCTTTATACTGCCCCCGGGTGGCAAAGATGTGCCCACCAGAAAGAGCACCAACATGTTCTAACAAGTCGTCCAACACACGCTCGTTTCAAAAAGTCAGTTTGATTGTAGGAAAAGAGTTGCACCCTTTCAAATGTTCAAATGCAGCAGTTGAGAAATCAACCTGTAAAATGGCAGCCCTAAATTATCGCACTATCCAGGTGCCACAACAATATCGCTATATTTTGACAGGTATTCGCTATTCAGAGAAGCATACATAAGCACGTCAATTAAGTAAATGGTGGCGGAGATGTCAGATACTCCACCGAAGCAGATCTTGATCAGGCGGAGGTGCACCATTTGTTGTTTCCTGTGACACCAGCTGCAGTGGCTTCCCAAGGGGGGAGAGAGAAAGAGAGAGAGAGAGAGAGAGAGAGAGAGAGAGAGAGAGAGAGAGAGAGAGAGAGAGAGAGAGAGTTTTGATGCTGCCTATGAATGCCACTCTTCTGCTTCATCAGGCTTTCTCCAAATTGTTTTGACAAGTAAACAAGCAGTTTGAGGAAACAGATTGACAGAGCTGCGAAAAAATGCAATTTCAAGTGGAACTCCTTTTATCTGACACTCTTGTACCTGACAAGATAGACGTTCCTTAACATGAATCCGGACAAATTGGTGCAATGAGGGGCAAGAGAATAATAGCGGCAAGCCGAGCGCAAGTTTAATAGGTGTGCCTTAATTAATCATGCAAGTGATTATGGTTTGATATTCTTATCCTGTCGTCCTATGTCAGTGTTGCTCCACTCCAGCGTCAACCTGAAGAGGAAATGGGCTTGGGTTTGGAGTGCTGAACAAAACAAAAATTAGGGGTGAGACTTTAACGCATGAATTATGACAAATTAATTACAGAAGAATTCATTTTAATTGGTCAGTGCGCGATTCCCCGGTCAACCGATCATGCCAGTGCTTGGCTCGACTTGCGGCTAGCAGCTACTAAAACAGATGAATCAGATAAAACCGCATTGCTAGGATGAATGGAAGGTAGATTTCATTTCAACTGTCTGGAAAAAAAAAAGAGTGGCTTGTGCAAATTATGCCAAAGGTAATTTGCATACCACCAAAGACTCCACACACTCCGCATTGGCAGCATCCACAACTAATGAGTAAAGTCGAGGCAAATATCTGACTCCACAAGTGGAAATGGAGGGCCACTTTGAAGATGAAGCAGGCGTCTGCACGCAGGGCAGACTGTGAAGAGGCGTGTCAGGAGGTTTGGAGGACTGGCTTCGCTTGTCCTGGCAAGGCACCAGTTTCCCCGAGTACAGCCTTGTTTCCGGAAGCTTCGTTTTCCCCCGGCCGCCAGCACAAGACGTCCTCTCGACGGCTGTCGCCGCAAACAGACGCCATCCGTCACAGTTGCTCAGAAACCGCTCCCATCCAATCTCACACCACTGCTGTGAAGGCAACTGTTCCTCGCTTGTCTCACAAATCTGCTCCAAAGGCAAGCAAAGGCGTGTATTTACACACTGTCACAGCGGCGCTCAGACACAAAGAGCGACAGAGAAATTCTTGCTTCCCTTTGCCAGAGCCACTTTTGCTGAATGTGTCCCCATCCTGTGTACTCGGCTGTTGGATACACAGTCAGAATCCACTTCATATTGTCGGCCTTTCCTGGACTTGCATCATCATTTGGCCTTGTACACAACGGCATGGAAATGTCCTTCAATACACGACTTCTATTATTACTATTATTATTATTATTATTATCATCATTCCAGTAGTTAGTCCAGTTATGGGGGGGGGGGGCACACAAAAAAAAAAATCGGTTGCCTCCAAGTTCCCACTTCTCATGGCAAATCCTCTCCCATGTGGAAAAACCTGTGATTGGCCATGACACAAGTCAGCTGTGATCAGTCCCACAACGGCGCACACCTCACGCTCTCAGTGCCACTGTCCTGTGCCCGTCTTGGAAATTACCCACGTCGGGTCTGACCCCACCGAGTTATGCCGCGCACTAAGCGGTATTCACGCCGATCACAGTAAAGTGAGTGTGAGCGCTTGACTGCCTGCATGTGCTAGGTCATTGCTTGGTGACCATTCCGGGGCTCTACCCACCTCTTACCTACAACCTTAGTCAGAATAAGCGGTATAGAAAATGAAAGGATGGAAGTATATTATTTTAACCATTATTACTTTGTTCAGGCATCTGTTGGATTGAATGTCTTTCAATATCATCCATCCATTTTCTAATCCGCTTCTCCCCAGGAGTGTCGCAGGCGTGCTGGAGCCAGCCGTCATAGGGCAGTAGGCGGGGGGACACCCTGAACAGGTTGCCAGGCAATTCTTTCAATATTATTCCACTCAATTTTCATGGTATTGAGACATCGATGTTGTGTAAGTAGCCGACATCCAGAAGCTTAAAATATTTCTGAGAACGTTATTTTCAATACCCTAAAGCCAGAGGTCACCTTCAGTCTGGTGCTGCACTTCAACAAGGGTCATTGTTGATAGACAATCGCATTACACAGTGACCTTCTTGTCGTGATGAAAAGAGCATCCTCGGGAGAAAATAACATTAAATTAGCCACATGGGCTGGGTTGGATGTACACCAGGTTTTGTCTTAATGGCGTCATTTTTAGGTACAAAGTACTTGGATGTCCTCGGTGGGAGTAGTGAGATGTGCATTCCATTATGCGTTATACGTCTCGTGTTCAAGACTGAGCGTCGTCATTGTTTCGCCTGGCTGCGAGACAAATGCCCCTGTGGGGAGAAATTAAGTTAAACACCAAAGTAAATTTGTGTCCATCGCATTGCAGAAAATAGAAATATGCTATATGTGATGCATGTTAGGAGACTGTCGACACCATAGCATACAGTTATCCGGTTGACTGGCCACGTGAGGAGATGTACTCATCCCTTTAACGATTGGGATGATTCGTTTGCTGCTGGAATAAATATGACGAGTTGTGGCATCGAAATTGAGGATGCAATTCGCGACGGAGCATTGTTTCAGCTCTCAGCACTCATCCTTCAACATTAGCCATTAGCTTTTTTTATCTCATGGTCAGAGCACCGTATGATGGAGCCTAATCTGGCAAACTTTGTGAGGAATGCAAAACTGCGAGGGGACGCAGCTTTTTTCCCCCTTCCGGGTCACCTTCGGGGCTCCGTACCTTATTTAACATGCATACTGTAGCTTTCTATCTAAAATAAATTGCGAACGAAAGTTCCGGCAGTAAAAGAACCAGCATGAAAAAAAAATTATATTTTATACATTGTGACTCCCTTTCTCCAGTTCCTGAGCCACTTTCGCTCTCATTACGAATGCACTATGCAGACTAGACTGACAGCTTCATTTGGGTTGTTTTTTTTTTTTTTTAATCACAGCGGATGAAACTCCACTCTTTTTGTCTGCGATGTACGGCATATCATCCGGCGCATCAGACAGTCTAAATCAGTTCAACATTATTTTTGGAGAAGGAGCAAATTTCCGATCGCGCTCTTGAATTCAATCTCTTTACGTTGGTGTGAAAATCTGCTTATTGATTGTGGAATCTGAAATGTTTTGCATTCCTGCTTGCATTTGTGTTTGTTAATGGAGCGCTCCCACAGTGTGTTTGACATGCCCGTGGCTATTGGCGGCTTCATCACAACCGTGCTTGTTGAACTCATCTCATCATCCCTCACTCGTCTTCTGCGCCTCCCTCTCTCTCTCTCTCTTTCTCTCGCTCCCTCTCGGCTGCCATTATTTATTCAGTTTGTTTGGCGGGACTCAGCAGCCGCAGCAGCCCCCGCCTGGCAGACCTATTGAACTGAGGCATAATAGATGTAATACATCAATGCGTTTGAGCTGAGAGCCTTTAATTAGGCCTTCCTGCTCGTTTCATCAATTCGCCGTGCCCCCGCTGGGATTTGGGGGAGGGCTGTTGGTGATACGGGCGGGCCTCCTGCGCTGCATGTGAATCACCGCCACCTCCTCAGCCGATTGCTTTGACTCCTCAGTGGGTCCTTTGTGCCCCAAAACGGCCAGCCTCTCGTCCTCCTCTCGCCCCAGCCCTCTGCCACTCGTGTGTGCAGCGTCACGTGACACAGATGTTAATTATCACCTTAATGTCCAAATTAAAAACATGGCCCCCGACGGGACTTATATTCCGATCTGTTCGGGTGTACGTGGCTCCGTCTTTTTTTCTTTTTTGTTATGTACCTAAAAATGACACCATTAGGACAAACCCTGGTGTACATCCAACTGAGCCCATGTGGCTAATTTAATGTTGTTATATTTTGTTATACTGAGATCACACTTGCCCATAAAAATTGAAAGCCACAAAAAAAAAAAAAAACAACAACCAGAGTCATGGTAAAGTGACGATAACTCTTCAATGATGGGTGTTTGAATGAATGCCATATTTTCATGCTTTCAGAATTGAATTAATTTTGTATACTGTCTACTATCATTCTGCCAACACATACACAAATGTCCATATGTTAGAGTTTCTCTTGTTAGAAGGCAAGATGTTCAATTATCAGAGCCAATGGGAGTGAAGAAAAAAAAACAAGATGCAATCAGAGTAACAGCCCACAGGATGTGAAAATGGAATTTCTAACCTAACCTGGTAGAGTCAACAGTTTTGGTGGGTCTATTCCGGGAGGAAAAAAATCGCTGGCCAATTATCTCTAAAGTCTCTTTTTTTTTTGACAATGCTTGTCATCAAGGTGACATCTAGTCCTTATCATCTACAGTACATGTAGAGTATTCTTCGACATTGTGATTACATACATGCACAAATGAAGCAGGCCATATGTGGCAAGAGTCATTTTGTTGTCATGTTGGAATTGAAGGCCAAAACCAGACATCGTGAATGGCAGTCTCCACCAGTGTTTCTCAACAACGGTGCTGTGGCGGTTCTGCTGGACTGTCGATAAGAAAGAGAGGGGAAAAAAAAAAGACATTTGACACTGAAGTGGATGCAAAGAAAAGTAATTGGGCCGAAGAAAGAACACAAGTTAAGGTGGCATTGGTGACTGGGACCACCTGATCTCACTCCGCAGGATGAGCGACTGGCACCTCGGTAGCATGAATTGCTCAACCGGCGTCTAATTACTCAGTGTAGAAATTGAAAGTGGAGGGAAAGATTCTCTTTCCTGTCTCGCGCGCAAACAGACATCAAGTATAAATATAAAGTTGGATGCCACCTGTTCTTTTTTTAATTAAAACCGGAAAGATAAAGTGGTTGTTAACACTTTGAAGCTTGGGTCTCCGTGACAGCGACTGTGGTTAATTTTATCCACGCATGACACATGAATCAAGTTTTATAAAAAAAAAATATATATATATATATATATATATTTTCTAACCCCAGATAACTGACTAAATGAGGGATTGTGACAAAAAGAATGATATGAACAAAAGACAGTATGAAAAATGAAGCTCAAAAAGGGGGTGCTCAGAAGGCAGCTCAAATGAAACGCAAAATTTCCAGCTCGTGTTACATTTGGAACCTTTTCCTATTTTGAATGCATCTCCCATTTATTCTGATGATGCATTACGGCGTTGCTTGAGAGATGGAGGAGTGGGAGAGATAGGATGCTTGGCAGGCTGCAGCTGATCAGGCGGCGACTGTGAAAGAGCCGCAACATCCACCCCCCACCCTTCCGTGGTAACTGCATTAAAAAAATGACGATTTGAAAAATGATCAGCATCGCTGCTCGGCACAGTCTCTTTGGGGTCGTTGCTAGGAAGAGATCCTGTTTCTGTGCAATTTTCACTCCAGCCATTGTATGAGAAGAAGCCTCTTGCGCTCTGTCAACGGAACGAGGCTGAAAGAGATGGGAAGGGTCCATTTTTCACTGATTGAGAGAACATTTGGTCATTAACAATTACCCGGTTCGAATTATTCTCGTTGCACTCGTTATTAATTCATAATGTAGTTTCCGTACATTATGCATCTCAGGTAAAAAAAAAGAAAAAAAAAAAGGGAGCCTTGGCTCAAGTAAAGGTTGGGAAGCATCGCTTACAACGGAGTCACAAATCAGAAGCGGAGAGCAGAAATTACAAGTTTTGAGCTGCATTCGTGCGCCATCATTATCACGATAATGATGTAACCATGACAAAAACTATCCGAGTAATATGAACACGGACTGTCACCTTTGGGTAAACACATCGAGTCCATTGCCTAGATTGAAGGATAATGAGCCCCCCCCCAAAAAAGAGGCTAAAATATGTATGCCCACATTCACTGTCCATCTTTATGCACATACAAATATGGAATAAGCGGGCGGAATCTCGTATGGTCCTGCCCAGTCTTTTACATCCACTGAAGCGAATCCCTTCAGTGTTCTGCTAATACATCCATTACATGAGTGAGCCTCCCAAAAGACAACCCGAGTCAGTAAATAATTCTGGTTAATTATAGCGCAGACATCCGTCTCTCTGTGTGTGCCGGCTCGGCGCGAGCCATGTCCTATTAATAAAACAATGGTTATTACCACTGTTGATGCTGTAGTTTCAAACCTGTTCATCACACTGAACTCCAAATGAAAAACAGTCTCATCTTCTCATCATCCTTTGGAAAACAGAGGACGGCACTTCCAATGAATGACAATCCAACCGTAGATTTTAAATGTAAATATTCGTATGCTTGCAAAGTTTGGAAGTTAATCGTGAGCCAAAGGGAGGCTGAAATGTTTTGCAGCGGGGGTGTCAAACGCGTTTTAGTCGCGGGCATCTTCCCTTGGATGGGCTCCAACCGTAGATTTTAAATGTAAATATTCGTATGCTCGCAAAGTTTGGAAGTTAATCGTGAGCCAAAGTGAGGCTGATATGTTTTGCAGCGGGGGTGTCAAACGCATTTTAGTCATGGGCCAATTTGGAGTTACGTCTTCTCTGGGATGGGCCGTTATGACAATGAAGCCACAAAATTATTACTTGTACTGCACACAACAAATTAATAGTTTACTAGTTTTGAAATCAATCAAGTCATTGATAATAGTTTGTTCAATTTTGTTCAATTATTGTTTAACTGAGTGTTAAGAGGAGAACAAAATGATTGATCCATCGGGCGGGCCGGATCTGGCCCCCAGGCATTGACTTTGACACGTGTTTTATAGGATAGTATCATAGCAGCCCAACTGATGTAACTCTGATTAATAAGACAAAAGGTTTTGTTTACATTCCTATTATCCATTATTTGAAGTAGTGGAGGAACGCTTCGGTTCAACTCAATTTCTCCATTGGGCTCAATTGCGGACAGTCGGATGTTTTGTCACAGACATCGCGACTTGAGCATCCGAGTTCATCTCATTTGATCTCCCTTTCTATGTATCAATGCCATTGTTGTAAGAATATTGTCCTTAACTCGCTTTGGTATATCAATTTACGACGGCCGTCAACAAATGGCTCATGTTTCTTTTGTGCGGACTGAGTGCCCTGCGATTTGCCGGTAACGCCTCGGGAGGTCGTGAGGAGACGCGCCCCTCGCGTTTCGCTCAACGCAGACGCGCGTTGACGAGAGCTGCGTGATGAGTTACGAGGATGGTCAAGGGAAGAATTAAACACGTATATCAAGGCACCGCTTTATTTGTTTTAACCTCCAAAATGCCACCGATGGGTTCCAGCGGTGTCATACAAAATAGGCACGCTTTCAAGTGGATCGTCTCCCCGTGTGGCAGCACTCATAAGTTTGAAAATGTCAAATGA